GAGGAGTATTTTTTATATGTAAAAATGAGATCTAGGTGACTTATATATATATATATATATATATATATATATATATATCTCCAAGAGCACAGTGGTGCTCGTATAATCAACTTTTTTCATATCAAAATTAATAAATTAATTTTTTTTTTATCTTTAGCCTTTTGAGTAAAGTTTTGCTTTAATCGCTTCATAAAATATTTTTTACTTTTCTAACTCTGATATTATTAGTCTCAAATAATTTTTGTGTGTGTCAGTTATTGTTATTTTAATGTTTGGATTTTTTTTTTAAAATGACAACAGTGTTGGTGCCATAAGGCTGAAGGTGGACTTTTACTTAAATGAAAAATAAATATAACTAATATCCAAAACACAGAAGAGAAAGATAGTGCTTGAAAACTGAAGACCATTTTGAAGGTAGTAAAATGATCATTAATCAAAACAAGAAGTAGATTGCCAGATTTCAAATGCGTGTATCTTCATTTTTCTCCAGTAGTCCATTGTTATGCGAGTGATTTCACTCCTTTTTAATCTCTTATTAATTATGTGTATATTAGAACTGCTATTTGATAAAAATCTTTCAACATGTGTAACTATTATAAGGACTACTTTAAAAAAATATGGATAAATATGATAAACAAAACAAATTAAGACTTTATTTTTAAAATTAAATGGAATATTCAACAAGCTTTTATATTAACAAGCCGAGATAATATTTATACATGCACTTGAACTATGATAAACTCAAATAAAATACTCCTCCGGTCTTTAATATAGGACCCAATTCTTGAGTTGGTTTTGGTCCTAAATATAAGACCCATTTCTCATATTTATCAATTTTCTCTAAATTACCCCTATAGACACTCCCTCAACTATAATCAAATAGAAGAAGGAGATGAGGTATTAAAAAAGATGATTATGGTGTTTTAGGAAAAATGTGTCACTTTTTTTATAATTAACTAACTTACCTAACTTCCTTAATCTAATCAAATTAGTTAAATGGGTCTTATATTAAGGACCGGAGGAGTAATATGAGATTCTTCCTTCCACACACATTCAAAGGACTTATTAGGGCAAGTTGTCATGAAGTTTTAAGTAAAAAATATAATTATTAAAAAGTCTGAGTGACAATAGATGAGTCTGCAATAATGAATTTAAAAATAACAAATAATAGCTGCTTAGTTATTTTTGAGACTTACTCATCTGGCTCTATTTATAGGGCAGAAAGAGAAAACATTTTTTGGTCTTATTTATAGGGTACTAAAAGAAATTTTTTATATGAATGTATAATTTTACCTTTCATTTATTACTGTGTTGACTTTATTTACATGGGGTATAATATATATTAAATAGAGATAAAGTTAGAAAGTTATTGAATTTTAAATAAGAATTAATGAAGGTTAAGATTTTTCTTAATCTGCGTAAAATATGTTAAAAATGACTTATAAATAAAACAAAAAAATATGAGCAATTTTTTTTTTGAGCGTGATTATAATTTTCCCAACTTATTTATAGAAGGATGCATGGGAATTGAGAGGGGGAGGGAGGCACATGGCCTGCGATTCGATCTCTGAGACCGATGCAATTAGGTGCGCACAATGTGCGTTTTCGTTTGTTTGTTTGTTTCAAAACCTAACGCTCTCCCTCCTTTAATTTCCTTCTTTCCTTCCTTCCTTCCCACGCTTCCCTTTTTTTTAAAAAAATATTAATTTTATATATAAGGTTCACATGTCATCTTAATATTCGTTATTTATTTTCTCTCATGTTTTTTTATATAGTTATATTCAGCTTTGTATGTATAGAAAGACGCACCGCTTATTCAATTTTTTTGTCCCCGTTGTCTTTTATTATTAGCGTCTTCTTCTTCCTCGTATTGGGCCCAGGTGCGATCATTATTAATAAAAATTCTCATATCTGAGAGTACTAACAAAGGATTAATTAGGATGTACTATGAGCTTATGATGAATAATAATCAAGTTAATTATATAGAATGAACAGGATCTTAGTCAAGTTATATACCAAACTAAACATACCATCATAACATTAGCTTTAGTTATTTTGTATATTTATTTTAATCCTAAACATAAAGATATACTCATCAACTCAACTTTAGGCTTGATTATTATAAATATAATAAAGCCGCATTATTCCTAGTCTCCCATGTTAAATTTTCTCCTTTGGCAAAAAAATTAAATTTTTTCCTATAATCTGCTCATTAAATTTTCATCATGAAATGATAGGTTTATTTTTGAAAAAATCACCAATTCTTTATATATTAATTATAAGTAACCAAATTTACGTTCTTTTTGAAGATTTTTTTTAAATTAATTAAAAAAAATCTTATATTTAATACTGCCTAAGAAGAGCTAAATATAATATTTTAGATCACTTTGTTTCTCTCTCTTTTTTTCTCCCTTCAAAATATCCTTATTAATTGTAAGGATTGCCTATCAAAGAATAATTCCAATCATCTAATACATAGCTCAGAAAGACCAATAGATATTTATGAAAAATAACTAATTTAACTAATTTTCTTAACCTTTCTAAATTAGCTATCCAAATCTTATATTACTTCTGATCCTAATTATAAGACCCAGTTGACCAATTTGGAGAAATTACGAAACTTAGTTAAATTAGTTATTTGTAATGAATAGATGTTGTTTTCCTATAATATCCTTATGAATCAAGTTTGTTATCTAGAACTATCGTTATTAAAGGACTATCTTGAAAAAAATGGATAAATATGAGAGACAAAGTAGATTAGAGTCTTATATTTAGGACAAAAATAAAAGTCAAACAAGGTCTTATATTAAATACTGGAGGTAGTATTAAGTACTGAAATTAGTATTAGGTGGAGTGAAGGGCAAGTGGGAGTGACATTATATACTCTTCTGGTCCTATTTATAGGGCAAAGAAAGAAGGTGTTCTTTAGTATTATTTATAAGGTATTGAAAGAAATTTTTTTGTATGAATGTACAATTTTACACTTCATTTATTATTGTATTGACTTTGTTTATACGAGGTATAATGTATATCAAATAAGGATAAAGTTGGAAAGTTGTTGAATTTTGAATGAGATTTAATAAAGTTTAAAGTTTTTCTTGATCTGTGTGAAACATGTTAGAAGTGATTTATAAATAGAACCAGAGGAATAGTTAGTATACAGTATGGTCAAGTCTGACAATTATCATTGGAACTATATTACTCCTCCAGTCCTAAATATAAGATTCTTATACTAGTATATACAAAGATTTTATATTTAGGACTAGAGAAGTATTTGAGATATAATTAATTGCCTCAATACATTCTATGCCTAATTTCACAGAGTAAATCATAAAACTCCGACATGGTAATTTTTATAGCCTTGGTATTTAGGCTGAGCCCCTTTGAATCTATGAGTACTCATTACTGGTCAGATCTTATATAATTGATTTTAAACTTAAGTCAAGGAAATTATGTTAAACAGATATATAAAATTCATAACAAATCATATTATTTATAAAATTTTAATTTATCAATATATAAATAAATACCTATAAATTAAGTTAATTAATAAATATGTGAAAAAAATAAGACCTCATCTAAATCATATCAAATTATTATTAATTGATGACAAGAGTATTTCGACTCAATGGCACTTCACCGGGGCCTTATAATCCAATGAAATTTTAAAATTTAAGCACCTATTTCAATTTATTTATTTATTTTGGCCAAAATTTCAATTTATTGATTTCATTCCATTTTTCTCATCAAAATTTACGCGTTACATTTTCACATGGAAATACCTAATTTCTCCCTTGTAGTTTGTACATCCGCGTCTCTGCGCAAGGTTCCACGTGCCACCGTTTTGTTTATTCAGCCGCTATGGAATTCTCAACCTTTTTCTGAAAATTAAAAAGTCTTTGTAATAAATGTTCTCTTCCCTTTCGTGTATTCCTGGGCATGTTATATGCTTTGAGAATCGTGGTATTTAGAGTTTTACTTAAAAATAGAAAACAATAAAGGGTATAAGAAAACACTTTTCCTTTGCGTTCACGTATACAAAATTATAAATCTTAATTAATTCACCAGTGTTTTACGAAATCATCTCATTGCACTTTCATTTAATATTTAATATTTGATTTGACAGTAAAAAGGTAAAATTTGATCGAAACAATGTGCATCATGTGATCATCCTAAGCAAGTTTAAGACTTTAAGTGGTGAGAATTAATTCAAACCCTCTGGAAAAGTGTTATTTCTTTTCATCCTATATTTTCACTAATTTTTATAAAGTATTTTATGTTTTTTTTGCCAATGTAGAAAGTATTTTAGATTGAAGACTAATAAAAAACTTATAAGGTGTCATGTATTAAGAAATGAATAGAGTAATTTATAAAAATAAAATAAAATAGAATTCAACAGAAAAAATTTATGAAAATTTATTATTTAGAAATTCTATTAATTTTAAAGACTGATATGTTTTTATGCATAAAATGTATATTAATACTACCTCCAGTTCTAATTATAAGAGCAAGTTGACTAATTTGAGAAAATTAAGTAAAAAAGTTAAGTTGGTTATTTGTAATAAATAGGTGTCGTCTTTCTTAAAATATCCTTATTAATTAAGTATGTTGGCTAAAACTATAACTATTAAAAGGATTATCTTGAAAAAAATTGAGTAAATATGAGAGTCAAAATGGATTGAGATATTATATTTAGGACCAATATAAAAGTCAAATAAAGTCTTATATTAAGGATCGAAGGTAATATTTTAGTAATTGATACTCAGAAAGCACTAGGTCAATGAATAAAATTTACAAGCACGGATTTTGGCCGATATATAAAAAATAAAGTAAAATAAAATAATTAACAAGAGACTATCGGAAGAGTATATTAGAAATATTTATTTATTTATTTTTGTATTATGCGCAGCCTTTATAACTGGAGTTAGAGGCTGCCCATCCTCAGCAATCAGCATCATCCTCAGCGTCGTCTTCTTCTTCCTCCATAACCAACGCAGAAAGCGACCGAGGGGCGTAATGGCGAGCCACGGCTCATCATTCTCCAGCTTCCTAGCCTACCTCCAAGCCCTCTCTCACACTCCGACTCGGCTCGCTCGACGAGCTCTTTCCCTCTCTACTTCTTACGAAGAGATGAGTTGTGTACGAGCTCGCTCCGGCTCTGACATGCGCAAGACCCTCCGGTGGTATGACTTGGTCGGCCTTGGAATCGGTGGCATGGTCGGTGCCGGAGTGTTCGTCACCACCGGCCGCGCCAGCCGTCTTTATGCCGGACCCGCCGTTGTTCTCTCTTACGCCATTGCCGGCCTCTGTTCCCTCCTCTCCGCTTTCTGCTACACTGAGTTCGCCGTTGATATGCCTGTTGCCGGAGGCGCCTTCAGCTACCTCCGCGTCACCTTTGGTTCGTTCATCAGTCATTATCACCGTTACCTTAACGCTCATAAGCTCTTGAATAGTCAATCCTTGTGATGATAATAAGATATGATCCTCTGATTTTAAAAATTTCCGTTCGTTTATTCCGACAGGCGAGTTCGCTGCATTTATTACCGGTGCGAACCTCGTGATGGACTATGTGCTGTCAAATGCCGCTGTTTCCCGAGGATTAACAGCCTATTTCGGCACAGCGATCGGCGTCTCCACCGCGAAATGGAGGTTCACGGTTCACTCCCTTCCGGAAGGCTTCAACGAGATCGACATCGTCGCGGTGGCCGTCGTTTTACTCATCACCCTCATTATCTGCTACAGGTATAGAATTCCTATCGCCAAAATATCACGTATTAACAACGCAATAAATACAGTACATAAGTATACAATTATAGCACAATGAAGCTCCTAGGCCTCATCATCATCTTCCTATAAGAGTTTGATTGATTGATTTGATTCGATTTTGATTTTGTGATGATTGGTTGTTCAGCACGAGGGAGAGTTCAGTAGTGAACATGGTGTTGACGGCGCTGCACATTCTGTTCATAGCATTTGTGATCCTAATGGGCTTTTGGAGAGGAAGCTGGAAGAACTTTACGGAGCCGGCTAACCCGGAAAATCCACCCGGGTTTTTGCCGCACGGAGCTTCGGGCGTGTTCCAGGGGGCAGCCATGGTTTACCTGAGCTACATAGGATACGACGCCGTTTCGACTATGGCCGAAGAAGTCCAGAACCCCGTCAAAGATATCCCCATCGGCGTATCAGGATCGGTCGTCATCGTCACCATTCTCTACTGTTTAATGGCCGCTTCAATGTCCAAACTCCTTCCTTACGATATGGTAATTATTATCACTAATTTTTAGAATAAATTATTATTTCGTATACATCCCCAGCTTTTATTATTTTTTGCCTTAAAATTTATACTACTCACACATTAATATTCGAACTCTTTATATTCACCCTTCAGTAAAATTTTGAAGAAATGTATTTCGTACTTGAAATATTTGTACTTGCTTGACAAATAAAAAATAATTTGTACTTTCAGTATTCGGTTATGGAATATAATAATCTTGCCTTTATCAGGTTTAGTTCTTTGAAAATAAAAAAGCCAATTAAGCTATTTGTTAGTTTTACTTTTGTCCTACTTTTAAGCGAGTCAAGTCGAGTTTTTCAGAATCACATCTGCTTTTTAAAATATATTTCATGGATGATCCGAATCACAATCTGGTCTGATCCGGATCCGAACGCAGATCGATCCAGAAGCGCCGTTTTCGGCGGCGTTCAGTGGGAAATCGGACGGATGGGGATGGGTTTCGAAGGTGATAGGTCTGGGAGCGAGCTTCGGGATCTTGACGTCGTTGCTGGTGGCGATGCTGGGCCAGGCTCGGTACATGTGCGTGATCGGACGGTCCAACGTGGTCCCTCCATGGTTCGCCAGGGTCCACCCGAAGACCTCAACGCCTGTCAACGCTTCCGCTTTTCTTGTACGTTGCCCACAAGTTACCTATACCCACTATTAAATGTTTGATCGGTTGAGGAGTTTTCAAATACTACTCTATGCTTATGGGTTCCCTTTATGATAAATCGTGCTTAGAACCAGCTTTGTGCTTCGCGATTGCGCTTAGTGGCCAATTTGGCCATTGATGTTTGCAGATGGTTCTTGATATTGTGATCAAGTGGGACCCACTTTGGACGATCTTTCTCATTGTGCGTGATCAAGTGAAGTTGTTTGGTTTTGAGTTTGTTGGTAGTGATAAGACCAAGGTTTTGTCATTAAATGTCAACAGATATTATATATCATGGTTCCTCCTGTCGAAATTGATAATGATGCTGATACTTATCCCTTTTTTGTGGGTATTTTTTCATTTCATGTCAGCAGCCTTTATGTGATTTCTGATGGTTGTTCTAAAGAGTTAGAATTAAGAATCTCATGGTAGAGGCGAGAGATTAAGCTGGTCTTACAAAACTCCACGTCTATCAGACATTTAACCGCATAGGTTGCCCCCTCAAATTAAATAATTGATACATTATATTGCTGTATTACATTTATTTCCTTCTTCAAGAGTGTGTAGTCTTCGGCATAATCTTCACGTAAGTGCACAGAATTGATACTTGTTCAATATGAACATGAATGCAACTTACTCTCACGTATGAATTTACCCTTTTGCCCTTTTTAGGGGAGGCGGGGCTGGGAGTATTTTTAATCACCTGTGCTTCTAATTAAACATTGTATTCAGAGTCTGTTAAATGCTGGTGCCTCTTGCTAGTGCTTATCTCATATGGATGGATATCACATGCCAATACTCTGTGGGATGGTCCTCCTCACAGTACTTATTATGGAAAACATAATTTCCATAATACGATATTCAGCAAGGGTGTGTTAATTACAGAAGGATGCCCAACAGTCTTTACAGCCTCGTTTTGTTAAAAAGTCTGATTGTGAACACCTAACAAAAACACTTTTCAGTGTTGTTTTCTTCTGGATATAGATGCAAGGACGGTGACAACTAGATTAAATGTATAGCTGCGTAGCTTGGAAAGACTAAGCTCTAATCTATAATAATAATGGTTTATAGGTGGAAAAGTGGTCTGCCGAATATGTCACCCTACTTTAAAATCCGTTTAGATGAACAATAAAGAATCTCACATGCGGGGAATTAGTGGTTTGTATTGGTTCTACCGCCACTTTTGTGCGAGTTAAATATTCCTCTTGATCGGAATTTGGAACTACTGACTGATGATGCTGATGACCTTATAGCTCCTCTTCATCTAGCTGCTACTAAATTAAAGTTGGCCTCGAATGATGTGTTTTTGTCATGATCTTTATGCTCTTTGCACATTTTTGACTTCCCGCATACCTCTTTGCTAGAAATTCCTTTTCCTCTTCTTTTCTCTCCCTAGGCCATTGAATGGTATAGTTTGAATTACATAACTGAGCATTCAGGAGTCACAGATTTTCTCATATATTCGCACATAATCTGCTTTTCAGGGATCTTAACAGCTGCGATTGCCCTTTTCACTGATCTCAATGTCCTTCTGAACTTGGTGTCCATTGGAACACTCTTCGTTTTTTACATGGTGGCAAATGCTGTGATCTATAGACGATATGTGGTTTCTGGCACAACAAATCCATGGCCTACATTGTCCTTCCTCTGTTCATTGTCCTTCACTTCTCTCATGTTCACCCTCATTTGGAAATTTGTACCATCTGGGAGGGCCAAATTAGGATTGCTCATTGCTTGTGGTGTGATTACCATTGCAATATTGAACATTTTCTACTGCATGGTCCCCCAAGCACGCAAGCCTGAATTCTGGGGTGTACCACTCATGCCATGGATTCCCTCTGTCTCCATATTTCTGAATGTGTTCCTGCTAGGCTCTCTCGACCGGCCGTCCTATGTTCGGTTCGGATACTTCTCGGCTTTTGCAGTGCTTGTCTATGTCTTATACAGTGTCCATGCTAGCTTTGATGCTGAAGGAGACGGTTCTCTCATTCAAAAGAGTGGTGAGACTCATGTGGAATCCAAAGAAATGGAGGACCAGATTTTCAAAGTGTAGGTGAATACTGGCAAAAAAAAACTAGACAAGTGTAGGTAATAAGTTAATGTCGTTAAGTACACATTATCATTTGAGCTTTGACAAATACATGTTCTGTCAATTTAGCTTTTAGAAAGTAATTATCACAATTTGACTCCAAAAGCTTGTAATGATGATAATTATCTTCTAATGACTAAATTGATAAAACATTTGCTGCTTTCTTCTAAAGATTCGAATGGTATAGTTTAGTCTTTTTATTTATCCCTTTGTTTATCCAAGTCAGGAATCTCAAGGTGACTTCAGCTTTATCAATGGTTGATGGTCACTTACTTAGACTTAAATGGGTGATGAGAGATATGGAATACATAGGCTGCAACCTTTTCCAGAAGTGGCGAATTGTATAGTTTAAAGGCGGCTTAGGCTGTGACATGGCTTTTGTAAATTCTTGGCTAATATATCCCAAAGAACAAAAAATAATTCTTATATATACTTTTTTGACTTGTGATTTCAAACAGTCTAAGATGAAAGAAACCATGCGTGTGTGAAAGTGACAAGGATATATATTGTGCCTAATAAAGCCAGTGGAGCACAAATCTTTTAGGGCTGATTCTTTTTTTCTTTTTTTTCCTATATGAGGTTGTGATGCTATATATTGACTCTGTGAGAAGCTTTTTGTGTGATTATGAAGTAAGCTGTGAGCATGATTAGACGGATATGAATGGCATCTAACTCATCTTAGAATTTGGAATTATCTCTTTTGTTCAAAGTGTGTGACTGTTTATGGATCTACTGATAGTGAGGCCACCAGGCCAACTGTTGTTCTCAGTGGGGATGATGTCATTCTCCAAATAAAAATAAGAACTAACACCTCTGGTATTGTTGGTTATAATAGTTAATTAGAATAACTATACAGGACTTATATAGGTATCCCAATTAAGCATCTTTTGCAGTTAGAATTCATAGTAACTGTTCTTGATAAATTTGCGTCTATTCATTTCATTATTCTCTTTGGCTTATCTGCTGGATAAACTGAACCTGCATAAAATTGCAAGGAATATGCTATGACCTTTTAACTCCTATATGATATCGTATGGTAAGCAGCCTTGCTGTTTGAAAAGAATTATCTCTGTTCCTTTCAAGCATTTCCCACTGGGAATTAGCACAGGGCCTTGTAACATCTCTTAAGGCCTTCTTAACCCTCTGGAAATTAAGCAGAACCCTTTTACTTTCAGGGAATCGTGTGCAAATTTGTTCTTATTTATTGGCCAAATTGAGTTTAACCCTTAATTATTCAAATAGAACTTGCGTCTCTGTGTCAATTAATTTGTTTTAATTTCATGTAAATCTATAATCAATCAACCTGGATATTGGCCTGCTACTACATGCCATTAGCAATGAATGGAGGCAATAAACAAGAGTACTTAATTATGTATTTTTTGGTTAAGATGTGGACAAGGGATGGGATTATATACAGAACACATGTAGTGATATAAATTAAAAAAGAATCAAAGAAGCAAAGCAATATAGTGTTTATCATTTATGTGACTCGCAGCTCATTTGACAAAGAAGATTCTGAATTTGTTTGTATAACTCATGAATCACGACATGTGGAATGATGAACTCTTTTTGTGACCATAGTGTATAGTATTAAAATTTCACTAACGAATTAAAATAAAAGGATGGCATTATAATAATTAAAATGAAATTTAAAGTAGAAGAACACAAGGTGAATCGGTGCACGCTCATCATTTACAAGATGAATCATTGGCACTGCTTATATTCCATTCACCGAAAGATCCACTAAC